GGGGGGGGGGGTATAAGTGAAATAAAATGTATTATATTTAATGAAAATAATGACAATCCTTATGAAATCCACAATAATTATATATTAAGTTGAGCATTGTCTTTCACCCCGCCTGGCATATTAGTTATGTTATGCATAATTAGCGATTTAACTGGGGTGGTACATGGACATTTTCTTGTAAAATATTATACTTGGACAAATTTTTCCTTCCAATGAACACCCCTAAAAGCAACCCTTCTAAACACTATAAGCACTTCAGAAAGGCTATTGCTTTTCCTTGTCGGAAGTTAGAGCTATGTTGACACTGCCGTTTCAGGGCGGAGTCATTCAGGACTCTCGTCCCGGATTCAGGTTTTCGCACATATGCCATGTTGACCGCGCATAGATATCTTATATACACTAGATAGTGCATCTAATTATTTTGCAATTCAAAAATTGAAGTCGTGATTGCAGTCTCGATCAGGTCGTTCCCATGAAATGAGAAGATTAATTCGTATGTCTTACATTTCTTAAACAGGGAACTTAAACATTAAGTTAAACCTATTACAAATACATTTTCAAACTGTTCAAATGATGAAAGTTATTGTTGTTAACTTTAAAGCGTTTATTAGCAAGTGGGAACGACCAACATGGCCACCATCTATTCAAATGAGGGTAACCGCTGGAATATTCTTGGCTTTAATTTTACTAAAAAAGATGCGCTATCTAGTGTATACACTGGCTATTATCTATATGAACGAACTTGACACTCGTATTGTGAAAAGATCTAATGGATGTGCTATTCTTAAACGATTTGTTTATGACTATTTTGTTTTTCTTTTATCACAACATCTCACGGGAGAAAAAACTTTTAACCATGGCCAATAAACTTAATGACAACATCAAATTTACCTTAGAGCTACCAAACCATAAGCAGTTACCATTTCTAGATACCATGGTTTCCTTTGACAAGGAAATCAAACAATTCTCAAAAGCTCGTTATATAAAGCCAATTCACAGTCTCTGTATTACACCGTGGGATAGCCATGGTTCTATTGCTTCCAAACACGCTATTCTCTTAGGAGAAACTATAAGTGAGCTATAGCTTGCTCAACAGCAGTGGCGTAACGGGAGGGTGTCAGGGTGTCCAGTGACGGGGGGCCCCGAAATTTAGGGCCCCCCAACAAAAATGACCATAAAAAATTTGATAGCACATTTCTGGGGAATTGAATTCATTGAATTGAATTGAATTAAAAAAAAATTCTCTGGAAAAGGCAAAATCCGTGGAGAAATTGGGGGGGGGGGAGGTCGCCAAAAATAAATTGTTCCGAGAAAAATTTTTGGAGCCTATTTTTAGTGGAGCAAAGGGGGCCCAAAGTGGCCGATTGACGGAAGGCCCCCAGCGGTTGCGTTACGCCACTGCTGAACAGATCCTACCTCAGGGCAAGAATCCCTCCGGAAAGTTACTAAATTGTTTGTTGACAAGAAATACCCTAGGAAATTTGCAAGAAACGTTATAAGAAGATCTGCAAACTCTAATTCGACTAGAGATGAAGAGATAAGATATATTTATTTAAAATTACCGTTTATTGATGAAGACGGGCGCAGGCGGTGGTACGACGATCTGGCATAAGTAACATCAGATTACAGTATAGGAATGGTACACCATCAGCTAGGGAATTTGCTCCACCTAAACAGAAATTGAATTGTATGGAAAAATGTGAGACGGTAAATCTGGTAAGAAATCTAACCAATGTTTAAGAAAGAATCATGCTATCTATGAAATCACCTGCTCACATTGCGGAATCTTGTATATTGGTGAAACAGGCAGAACAATAGGATCACGCAGTAAGGAACATTTGACAATGGAGAAACAAACAGTCTATAAGCACTTGGAATCACATAAAGAAACAGGATATGCACCAAACCATAATGATATAACTTGGAAAATTTTATATTCAAATACCAAATTCGCCAACGAAAGGAAATTCATTGAAGCATTCGAAATACAAAAGAAATCGCTTAACATCATGAACGATTGCATAGGGAGATCAATATTATTCTACATTATAAGTACTCAAAGATTCTGAAGATATATATATATATATATATATATATATATATATATATATATATATATATATATATATATATATATATATATATATATATAAATAAAAGGTCAATTATGGTAAAAGGGTCAATAAAAGTCAATAAAGGTCAATTATTAAATAAAAGGTCAATTATTATTTTAGGTCAATTTATCTGAAGAGTGCCACATACTGTGGTACGAAACTATTTAGTAATAAAGATGCCTAGTGGATTTTGTTGATTTGTTGTACCTTAATTTAAATATGCTCTGGTTTTCCATTGAGCACTTTGCCAAAAGTTTTTATAACCAACAAAAAAAAAATATATATATATATATATATATATATATATATATATATATATATATATATATATATATATATATATATATATATATATATATATATATATATAAAGTTCTTGGAACTTTTGCAGAGTTTCAGCCTGACTCAACATGTCGAAGTCCCCACACATTTTAGCGGCCACACCCTTGATTTAATAATAACTCGGAAAACTGACAATCTTGTTTCTTCTGTGCCTAGAGCTGTCTGCTTGTTCTCAGATCATATGCCTGTCTTCTGCGAACTTGATATGGGTAAGGTACTTTTTACTAAGTCAAACTTTTCGTATCGGAATCTTTCGGCGATGAATCTGGACGCTGTGCGAGCTGATCTTTCTAACTCTGATCTCTGTAAAAACACTGATATGTTTGATGTAAATGAACTTGCTATATGTTATAATAAAACACTTGAATCAGCCATAAATAGGCATGCTCCATTAAGAACTAAAACGATCGTTACTCGGCCCTATTTACCTTGGTTTAACACTGAAGTAAAATCTGCAAAAAGAGAGCAAAGAAGAGCTGAACGAAAATGGAGAAGAAATAAAGAGCCTCATGATTTTCAAATCTACAAATCTAAGAAAAACTACACGATATTTGTAATGAACCGTTCTCGGAAAAAAATTTATACAGATTTTGTCCTGGCCGGAACATAGTTCCAGATCAATGGAAACTATTTAACGCCGCTAAGTCTCTCTTTCATCAGAGAAATTATCTTAATTTTCCCGCATATATATATATATATATATATATATATATATATATATATATATATATATATATATATATATATATATATATATATATATATATATATATATATATATATTCACAATTTTAAGACCTAACCAGGAACGGTTCCTAAAAATGCAACACTAGGTCCTCTGGCAATTGAACATGCGGCCCTGCGATTCCGGTTACGAAATATGTTTAAAAGAGTGTTCCTTTGGCGCGGTAATGATTATTCAAGTAAACTCTCTTACAACTCTTGTTTTCTCGACCCTTATACCAACACGTATCAAGCAGCATTAACACGTATTGGTACAACATTTTTATTTTTATGAATTTATAGAAATTGCATCTTCCACCAGACGTTAGCGAGACCACGAGTGATCGACAAAAGGATCCATTGTCTAAAAATCCTGGCTCGTATGGTTGTGGTGCGTCCTTGAGTAAATTGGATTTCTAAGTAAATCCAAATACTTTGTGCTCTGACGGTGCTTCCATTTCTCCAGGTGCGTGAGAATGGCATTGTGGGAACGTCCCCTGATATGTACAGTACATATACCCTAGTCTACACCTACACCCACACCTACAACTGAATATAACTGGAACCCTATCTTTCCACAGCTAATTTTCAATGAACTCAAAAGTTGTAGTTTGCGGTTGGCTGCCTGCCGTAAACTGTCAATACTAGAGAGTTTAAGTTTCGCGTTGACACGTCAAACAGCAAACGCCGGGCAAAGAAAAACCTTACGTTATAAGGCAATAAATAGTAAACGGACTTGCTATTTTAAAACTATAATGTGTACCTAGGAAGTACATGCATGCAGCAACCCCTCACCTTTCTCAACAGATGAAGTATAAAAACTCCACATAAAGTGTTAAGACTATTATAAACAAACATAAAAACGTAAACACACCTGATGTTCTAAAATGAACGATTTCGCTGCAATTTCATGTATACCAGCTTCACAGCTTGCACAAAACACATTATTTATTGTGAATTATCGAGTTAAGAATGCATGGCTTAAAAATTTCGCAGATATGAATAAAATTGACAAGACAAAGCAAATACGGAATGGAGTTTTACTACTGAAATGTTTACACTTACCCAAACCGGCACAACAACGATTAAAATATTAAAAGCATCAACATCAAAACAATTACAAACTTTGTTTCACGGTTGAACAGCCTTTAATTCATAAAACTGCAGGCTTATTTCCAGTTAAAATCGAAAAACAAACAATTTTGTACTTTTGTAAACTTTTTTTACGAAATTTAAAACAAAAAAGTGCTGTAAAACAGCAAAATATTTCCTTTCAAAAAATACAAAACAATGGACACTCTAAAAACAGTTAAGATTTTTAATTCGACGTTTCGACTATCTTGCAGTCATCATCAGGAAATGATGACTGATGACTGATGATGACTACAAGATAGTCGAAACGTCGAATTAAAAATATTAACTGTTTTCGGAGTGTCCATTGTTTTGCATTTTTTAAAATTACTCAGTGGTAACCCTAACTTCCGTCCTTCAAAATGAAAAACAATTTATTTAGCCAGAGCCTATAGTCACGCATGCGCATAACGTCGAAAACCGTCCATGACATAAACAAAATGGAGGACAACTTTGAACTTCGCTTTGTTTTCACAATTCACATACCCGGGTATAATTAGCCGTGCGGAATTGGTACCCTCGCCCCGGGCTTACGCCCGGAACGGTCGCTCGGGGATGATTCTTTTGACACAAGAAAGAAAATATGAAGCGAAGAAGTTGAACAAAAATTCTGCCAGGAAAATGTGACTCTGCAGTTTGCCGTTGCCCTCAGACTCACGCCTAAACTCCCTAGTCTTTAGGCTGAGACACACCTGGCGTGATTCGACAACGCGACGCGATTTTTCAGTTTTTGAAAATTAATAAAACAACCAATGAAAGTAAATATTAAACGATATGTAGAGCAAATAATTCAAAATGTTATAGTGCTTATAAATATTTGAAAAACTTGAACCAGGATCAAAGTTATCGTTCGATGAAAATCGAAAAATGGCGCCTCGTTGTCGAATCGCGTCCGGTGTGTCTCAGCCTTTAATGTTTCTATTATTTCGCATCAAGCATACGTCTGCCATATCCCAGTGAGCTCTCTATATATATATCTGGAACAAGAACTTTAGTCATTCGGCCTACGAGAAAAATGAAGCCAAGTGAAAAATGAAACCATTTTTCCCAGCTAAATGCAGTTTTTGTTGCATGCCCATATATGGGCATGCAACTTTCATATAGCTCTAAATTTCGTGTCGTGTACGTTGTGCGTTGTACCAGTCACGTGGCAGATTCGTAAAATACGACAAATACCGAGTTTTCCGACGAGCATTTTCATGCCGGGTTTTCGTCGAGAAATTATATTGATTATTCGCCGAAAATTTACATAACTGAGCGCTTTAGAAAAATAAATCGAGGCAGGTAAAGCTTTACTGTTTTTAGCTAAATCTTATATTCTGTTATTTGTTGTTATTTTGGAGCCGTTGTGCTCGCCCTGATTAGTGATTATTTATCAATTATCAGGCGTTTTAATTTGCCGCGAACGCTATCAAAATACTCGATTTTTATTTACTCAAACTGAAACGGAGCCATTGTGTTCGCACTGATTATATTGTGTGCCAAGCTTCAAAACTACAGCACATTTTGTAAATAACATGATATATAAATATCAAACAAAATTTGAATTATAAATAGTATTTATACATACTATTGAAATTTAATACAACGAAATAGCAACCATTGTGAAGTACGCATAAGATTCAGCATGACGTTCAACATGACATTCGATGTAGTGTATATGAACTCATTTCAATCACTCAAACGTCAAAATGATAAATAATCATTTTCAATCTATTATAGTAATTCACCGTTTCCACGGGTTTTTTATACCTTTAAAAAGCTACAATAAAGCTAAGTCTAAACAAACTAACGTTATTTAGTTATACATTTGTGAAGGAATTCTAACAGTCAATTGCTTTCTATAAAACCTTGACCGGCGTGACTTTGCTAATGTTATTACCGTCGCTTGCCACTAACTATTAACGGTCGCTTATAAAAACATTGCCTATTTGTGTGTTTCTGCTGGGGTCTACACCGTAGGCTAATTTGCGTGAGAATCTTAAGTTTTCTTATTTTGACATAAGGGACCGGTCATTAAGTATTTACTAGGGGGTGTGGAGGATATTTTTGGAGGGCACGAAAAAAACACAGAACCTCTGAGGGGGGTACCAAAATCTTAATACTATGGGTACGGAAAAAATTACATTTTATAATTATTGTTGAATATTGAATGTATTTATGCCCAAATTTAAGTTTGGAAAAAATTGTTTTACTAATGTCAGATGACAAGTAGGATTCAGTGTCCGTGGAACGTTTGGAGTACAAATCTGATACATCTGAATTGTCAATGCTAGCAAGCTCGCACAATTAGAACGACGAGGAAGTGTCACATTGAGTGGAGGCAAATTGGTTCGGTTTGAAATAAATCCAATCTCGTTCCCAGAGCTGAACGATGGCTCTGAGTACGAAATTGAAATTTTTTTCTGTTTTTTCTTACTCTCAACCCATCGCTAGTATGTCAGAATCAGAAACATAAGAGACTGGTGACGAATCGGAGACTGCGGAAAATGTTGAGTGAAGATATATGGTTACCACTACAAGCCAAGTGGGAGAGCTATCACAAACTGGAGAGTTTCGAAATATAGATAAACGCAAGACAAAACTTAAAACTGAATTATTGATAGAAAAAGGGGGGGGGGGGTATGTACTTGAAATTTCATTTATCCTCCACCCCCTTCTAGTAATTACTTTATGACCGGTCCCTAATAGCTATTTTTCAATAAATATACTGATATTTGAAACTTATTGGATGATCAATATTTTAAGTTTCACGCCAGTTGTACCAAAGGTTTATGTAAGCGCTATAGCGAAGTTTCAGATGGCATGCAACATGTACGCACTGCGTACCTATTTTTAGTTTTTTCTACGGACCGTATCGCTTATCAAGTTTTCAGCTGATAAAATCATAATAGTAGTCTTTAAATCCAAGTCAAACTACGAAATTTCGGCACACTCCTTGAAGAGCTATTGGACGTCAGTTCCAATCCCTTTCTATTGTTTTTGTCTGTGCGGTTAACATGAAGCTAGCTTCCCTTTTTCGCCTTAAGTTCTCGCTCCAGTATGTATGGAACTCACTAGCATATCCCGACCAGGGATGGATTTACTGAGGGTGCGGGGGAATGCGCACCCCCCCCCCCCCCTCCTAACCCTGGCCAGAGGGGGTGCAGGAGGGGCGCTATTTTTCATGATAAAGCAAAAAAATATTAGAGATAAAATAGATATTGTACAGAGAAAACTTGTACCGTATGGAGGTTGTTTTGCCAAACTGTCAGAATACTGCTGTTGCTGTATGTTGATGGCGGGCTGCACACATGACCGACACAACTCGAGTCACTCGACACCAGATCTGGCTGAGCACCCCCCCCCCCCCCCCCCCCCCCCCCCC